AGTCAAATAATCAATGTTGTAATAAATATATCATAAAAGTTTCAACAATACCTTTGATTTGTATTTATAGGTTTCTTCATGAGCTTTTGATTAGGGTCAGTCTAATCACAATCCAATTATGTTAAATTTGATTACTTATATGTTTAGATTAGTTGATTCTGATCAGTTTCCTCTCAACTCAATGTCTTAAGCAATCAATATGAATTCCAAGAATTTTCCTAGCCAAACGTTGAACACACACTTCATTGGATTAAGGTGCATGTTGTATCTTTGAATATGATAAAAAAAATTTGACTAGTTCCTTTATGTATCATTGATCATTGGGATTTTACCATTATGTCGTCAATGTACACCTCCATGCATTTTTTACTTATCTAGTCTTCGAAGACCTTGTCCATGACACGTTGGTAAGTGATCCCTGCATTCTTCAGACATAACGACATCACCTCATAGTAGTAATTGGTCCGCTCAATAATGAACGTCATTTTCTCTTTGTTCGGATTGAATATTGGGATCTAGTTGTATCCCGAATAAACGTCCAAAAAGCTTAACAATCAGTGACCTAAGGCTCTGTCCACTAGTTGATTGATACTAGGTAAATGGTATGTGTCCTTAGGTCATGCTTTGTTCAGGTTAGTGAAATCGATGCACATCCGTTATTGACCGCTTGATTTCTTCACAAGGACCACATTGGAGAGCCATATAGTGTACTTGACCTCCTGGATGAATCTCACCTCATGCAACTTCTTGACCTCGGCCTCTGTAACTTCTTGATTCATGAAGATTTGAATGGGCTCGTCTAGGTCCATGGAACCATCATATTGACATTCTCAAGTTATTGAGCAAAATAATATCTATAATCCCTCCAACGAATGATAAAAGGTCGGTTGTGTTAAACGTTATAACAAAGTAGTGATGGTGCTTGCTCGCGGTAAAGCTACTGGCTTGGATTGTTCAGTCCAATCCTCCTAAGGTTGCTTAGCTAATCTTAGAAGAGTTGTAATCAATGACACAAGATTGTTACCACCCTTATCTTGCTGAATGATGTCATTCTCATCTCTTAATACTCTTATTTCCTCTTCATATTTTCTTTGTCTCATTTATCTGCCTTTACATCCTCATCATGATCTCCATCGAGTATTTCCCTTGTGTTTGGTTGCTTGTCATAATTCTTGTGGTCATCATGTAAACTTAAATTTTTTCGCTCGATCCTACCATGAGTGCCAAAATGTTCCAAACATATAGGATCAACTGTTCACTTAAAGTGATCTTCACTTTGATACTTAAATTAATTTATATTCAATCAATCAAGTAATTAATATTAAAATAAATGTTGTAAAAACTTTAATAATCATATCTTTAATTTTTATTTATAGTTTGATATTTTTTTCCAATTCGAACCATAAATGTGAAGTAATTTATTCTCTAGTCAATATTAAAATATCTAACCATTTAAGTTATAAAAAGAATTGAGTGAAAACTATCTTGAACCTACGTCACCATTAAAACCAACAAACCTTGATGTTTTTTTTTACAGCAAGAAAACACTGCTATCGACTTCAAAATATTTTTCTTGCTTATAAAGTACTGAAAGTTATTTTGAATAAATATATATATTGTGATAATGACAAATATTAAAAAAAACTATATACAAATACTATCAAACATTGAGTCTAAAAAGTATTTCAACAAAAGATTTGTCTTAAAATAATCATTTTACGTTGAAAAAAACAACTCAAACCAAATAGATTTACTTGTGTCGCATGGTTTGAATTACATTTATTGTTTTCTTCACCGAAAAAGAACCAACATTATACATTTAATATACCTTAATTCTAGTAGGAGAGTGGTTTTAATATTCCTAATTATCGTAAACAGAAAATTACGTAATTATAATTATCAGAAGATTATAAATATAAACCAGTTTATTTAAATAAATAAATTACCAAAGAAAATACGTTTAGCGACATAAAAATATCTGCTTATATTAATAAAATACAAATTAACAACATGAAATTATTTTAATAAATCCATCAATTTCTTTAATATAAGCAGACATTTTTATATCACGAAACATATTTTCTTTGGTAATTTATTTATTTAAATAAACCGGTTTATATTTATAATCAATTTCTTTAATGTACTTCCATCTTAATTAATATTCCCAATAACTAATATAAGAGTGATAATCAGAAAAGAAAAAACAGCTACGAAAACTTCCTTAATTAAGGTAAACATGGGACTTATGAATTTCATTGTAGAATCAAGCATCTTACTTCCATCCTCATTTGATCATCCTTTAAAATTTGAAAGCTGTGAAAAAATTTTCATTTCCAATAAACCTAGACATTCTTGTTCGCTCCCGATTTTAGCGATTGTATCTTTCTAAACTTTAGTGCAAACATGAAAAACCAAAAAGCTGAATCTCACGCTAAAGCCTTTGTAACAGGCAATCAAGTAGTTTAATAAAAAAAAATTCTTCCGCAGATCTTCACTAAAACAGATCCAAGACAAAGATCGTTGGTTTAATATGGTGCTGTTTGGGAAATCAGAACTACATTTTAGTTCAACAAACTTGAACCAAAACAACTGCAAACAAATCCAATATGGAAAATATGGGGTCAGAGACAAAAACAAAGTGGGACAAGACAACAGTGGAGGCAGAAAAAAAAACGTCACGGTAAACATTTCTCCGATCAGAATTCTCAAATGAACATAAACCACCATTGCTTAGTTCGTAGTACTACAAAATCAAGTCGTATACATAAATAATTAGCACAAAAAAGAAAACCAAAAATATATGTAACATCAACTAACAGTTAAAGAACCACAAAAATTGACAAGATGATAGTGAAAAAGTCCCTAATCGAACAAGCCGAATCCCATATCATCGTCACTCTCTTCTTCAGGTTCTTCCTGTAAAAATGTAAATGATACAAATTAGACGATAAAAAAAAGGAGAACAAACAAAAATTGCGGCATGAACTGGTTCAAAAGAGTTACCTTCTTTTTCTCCTCAGCGGCAGGGGCGGCCGCAGCTGCACCTCCACCTGCGGCAGCAACTGGGGCAGCTGCAACAGCGGCTGGTGCCCCACCGCCTGCAGCATTTGCAATCAAATCGCCAAGATTTTTCTTCTCGGCAAGTTTAGCAAACAAGGTAGGCCAGTAAGATTCGACTTGAACCTTGGCAGTTTTCAACAAAGTGGTGATATTGTCGGCCTATTTATGATTTAAGGAACAACACAATTATATCCAAGCAAATTCATTTGCGATTAAACGAAAAAACCCACTATTTATCTCCAAACAAAAGTACGAAATAGATTAAACCCACTTATCCAAATAATCACCATTATTAAATTGAAACAAAATAACGTTAAGATGTTCCCCTTAACCCCTTTCCTCCTTCAAAAAACTTTTGTTCACGATTGCCCAAGAACTTAAATTGATTAGATATCCAAGCCAACAAGAGAGAAAAATTATGCTGCAACATAACATAATCCATCGCCACTTCCCTCCGTGTTTAAATTGTTTCTACACGAATTCCTACCTTAAAACACGGGTTAAATTAAACCCACATTACTCAACAAAAGTACGTTAACAGAATCATGATACGAACCCTAAACCTTCTTCCGAAAAATAACTTATGTTTTGTTTTAATCCCAATTACTCAATCCATCAATAAAAAAAAAGTGAAATAAGTAAAATAAATTGCTTCATACATTTACTAACAATTCATCAACGGTAAACCTATGAGAACATCAAAGGATACAGTGACAGCGATTCCTTCATCGTGAAGGATGAGAGATGCGTATGAACAAGCAGTTTCCCCGACAGACATTTTCACACTGCAACACAGACAATTGTACAAATAAAACAAATCAAAACAGCATAGTCACATATGACAAAGGCGAAACACTGAAACAAAATCGTCAAAAGCAAAACTGCAAAACCGCAAAACCGCAAAACCGCAAAACCTGTACCTTCAAAGATAAAAGATCAGGAACAAGAAGTTTGCTTCCCTGCTGCAGCCGCTAATGAAATACGATTGCAGATTCTAGGTTTAAAAGTTCATAAACCAGTTCATGGGCCTATTGATTTCTAGCCCATTTATTAACCATTGGCCCAATTTCATTTTCTTCGTTACGTTACTGTATCTTCGTTTTTTTATTCTTTTCTGTTTTGGCTCATTTTTTGGTGCAACCTATGATGTCTAATCTAAGGATTATAATTTGTGGTAGTCATATATACACCATCTCAAATTATAAATTTACATCTCACTATCATATGTTACATATTACTTTTGAATTAATAAACGTACATATAATTAATGAACTTTTGTCACAGTAGAGGGCTTCTTATCATTATTAATTTTACCTTACCTTATATAAAAAAAATCACTACTATATTGTAGTAAATAAAATAATATAAATAAGGTTATATTTTTTATCTACGCCTTATAAATTTATTTACATAATCTATATGTTTATTAATATTTTTGGAAAAGAATAACACGTCATCTAAATATACTATATATATAAAAATTAATGTAAGAAGCTTAATTTACAATCCTCAGTTCAGTGTGCATGTGTTCACCCAAAAAAAACAAAGATAAAACAGTGGGAGAGGCACTCTTTCCATGAAGCCATCATGGTGTCCATTGACGATCATCTGCTAAACCTGGACGCCATGCCTCTTATCCTCCTTCCTACCATTCTCCATCACAGTCTTCCACCTCCTTTTCAGACATTGTTCCCTCTTTAAACGCTTTCGTTTTCACTCATTCTTTACATTACTAATTATCAATTTTCTTTCCAAACATCACTGCTTAAATGCCTTTCTTCTTAATTTATATTCTTAATCTAGTGTTACTGTACTGATGATTAACGAAAATTACAATAATGATCCAATCTTGCTTTGCTAATGATACAAACTAAGTGGGTCCGGGCATGTTAGAAAGATACCCCGAAAGGTTCGGAAAGAAAGAAGAAAAGAATTAGATGCTTTATGTGTCGGGTAGTTAATAGTCATCTTCCCATAAAAACATAATCAAGAAAAACCTCGTCAGTTAATCCATCAATGGGGAACTGTGCGTTCAGAGGAATCACCAAAGCTGAAGGTGCTTGGGAAAAGGATAAGATGGTGAAGGTCATCACCCCAAACGGAGGCATCATGGAGCTCTACACCCCCATAACCGCCGACTGCATAACCAACGAGTTTTCCGGCCACGGAATATTCCAAAGCCGCCGCGAATTGTTCTCGGAGCCGCTCCACCGTGATGATGAGCTTCATGCCGGGGAGCTCTACTACCTTCTCCCTCTCGACCCTTCTTGCAGGTTGTCATCCACCAAGAACATCGCCAGACAACTTTCCAACAACGCCGCCGCCAGTGCGACCTTAACGCCGTACAGAATGTGTACCTATGATAACAACAGCAGTAGGATGTGGTCGGAAACCGGTGAAGTGTTTCCGAGGAAAGGAGTGTGGAAGGTGAAATTGGCAATAAGCCCGGAACAGCTAGCGGAGATATTGTCGCAGGAGTCACAGACGGAGGCGTTCGTGGAGAGCTTGAGGACCGTGGCAAAGTGCGGCAATGGGGTGCTGTCGGCGCCGAATTCTGATCACTCAACTGCCTGTGACTGAAAATCAAGGTTTAGAGATGCTTAAAAGTGTGCTCTTTTATTGTTTATTTGATTTTCACAATTCACAGGGTTAATCTTCAGTCTTTCACATGTTTCTTTTTTATTAAGATCGTGATTACACACTATTATTCAGATTACTGAGCATGTAATATAAAGTTTAAGTCTAATGCATATATAGAATAATTTTGAAGATCATGCTTTTTAGGATTCTAATGCATATATTAGAGGCATATCGATAGAAGGAAAATACTTGAAAGATAAAATTATATACCAATACATTGGTTTTAGGCTTATCAACAAAAGGATATTTATTATGTTTATACATGGAAAAATAATGAGAAAAAGTTAAATATAATGAGAAAAAGGATATTTCAAAGCGATCGATTTCGATGGGATTGTGAAACCTAAAGAAGAAAGGAGTTAGAGAGGGAGAAGAGAGTTTGAACTCGTATGTGGTTGCTTGTGTTAACCTTGATTTATATCACATTGTCTCTATTTAGATAAGATAGGAACTTAATTGAGTCCAAAAAGATAATATGTAGACTAAATTAATAACTAAACCTTCTATTATAATGGTCACTTTCACACGACATTAAAGTCAATTTAAGAGAATGGACCACATTTAATCAATTTAACATGTAAAAGAATTTGATTAAACATTTGTGATGGAACGTCTGAGCTGGAGATGGAGTTTTGTGATGGAAAGGCTAAGATGGAGTTGGATCCGTGGTGAAAAGATCGAGCTGGAGTTGGAAATCCATGGGGAAAGGGTCGAGCTAGAACTTGAGATTTGTGATGAAAAGGTCAAACTGGAATTGGAGATCTGTAGTCAAAAGGTTAAGCTGGAGCTGAAAATCCGTAATGAAAAAGTTGAACTAAAGCAACAAATTTGTGATGGAGCTGCAAATTCATGATAGAAAGATCGAACTAGAACTAGATATATGGTGGAAAGACCAAACTGAAGCTAAAGATCCATAATAGAAAGCCAGGCTGAAGTTGGAAATGTACAATGGAAGGACTTATAGTTGTGAAGTTGTGTTCGTGGAGTGGTGTTGATATAGTGGTAGATCATCTCTTCTCATGTTTTACTACAATCTCCTTTCTCAACATTTTCACCTTGTGATTGGGACCACACATGTCACGTAAAAATTAATCTAAAGCGACACGTAGCGAGTACGAACCCAGATGTTTGAACATGCATAGGTTCCTTCTCAGCTCATGATTATAAACGCATGTTACCCTCAAACGTCAACCTTCCTCTGCTCTGTACTCGACTTTATTTATAGCAACCACAAACATGAAGAGTTCTGAAAAACATAACAAAAACTCGCTCTCACAAAAGCAACTCTGCTGCATGATGTGCTTGAAGAGGATGTCGCAGTTATCCTTCAAACCAACTGCTTTTCTTCTGTTCTTCCTAGGTTTCTACGTCGCATTCTCTACTCCGGAGGATCCCATCAACTGCTCCTCACACAACACAAACTGCACCATCACTAACTCCTATGGTACATTCCCTGATCGAAGCATCTGTGAAGCACAAAAGGTGTTTTACCCCACACAGGAAGAAGATCTTCTCAGAGTGGTTGCATCAGCCTCTCGAAACGGAAAGAAGATGAAAGTTGCGACCCGTTTCTCCCACAGCATCCCCAAGTGGGTGTGCCCTGAAGGTCAGAATGGGTGGCTAATAAGCACCAAATATCTGAACCGGGTAATGGAAATTGACGCCGAGAAAAGGACGGCGAGGGTGCAGAGTGGCGTGACGTTGAAGCAGCTGGTGGAGGAGGCAGCCAAGGCGGGCTTGGCCCTGCCATACACGCCGTACTGGTGGGGTTTGACGATGGGGGGCATTTTGGGGACAGGAGCTCATGGAAGCAGTTTGTGGGGGAAAGGAAGTGCGGTTCATGAACAGGTGATGGAGATTAGAATTGTTACGCCTGCACCTCCTGAACATGGATATGCCAAGCTTCATATTCTTACAGAAGAAGATCATGATCAGCATCTCAATGCAGCAAAAGTCTCACTCGGCTTGCTTGGGGTCATTTCACAGGTACGTATGTTACCATGCATGCACCATTTCCTCCTTCAACTTCCTTTTCCTCTTTATCTTTTTGTTTCTTTTAATCTAATCAACTTTTACTTTCAAGTTTTGAACCTTCTGATCATCACATTCTTTTTACTCAATCACTTTTTAATGTGTGTTTCTCACGGTGATGTGATTCATATAATGTTTTATTTTTAATTTAATATACAATACGAAGAACATACTATCTTTTTATTACGGATTATCTATCACTGTGTAGCACCTTCCTAGAATACAGCCAAAACATGTGAACAAGAAATTGGTACGTTAACGTGTGAGAAAAACTAATGAATTTACACAAAAATTAAAAGAAAATAGTAAAAATTTGTTCTACTGTGAAAAAGATTCGTACAAGGCATACACGAGACTAATTAGTCTAACAACAAACAAAGTATAGGTAATCAAGTCATTATGAGTTTACGTGATAATTGTATGGATCCAAGCCTTGTAACGAAACAGAGTTTGTTCAAATGAGAAATAATGAATTAACTTCTTTGAAGCCATCGATTATGATGATATCATCAACAATGATAAATATCATAAAAAGAGACTTATCACTTTTGTGAATATATTTGCGATATTATGTTGGACAAATGCAGCATTACAATCTGTAATCTGTAATAATATACAAAGGAGAAGAAGCATTACTATTATTAGAAAAATAAATGAGTACCATACAAAGGAGAAATAGAAGCATTACTTTAATTAAGATTTTTTTTTTGTTTGACAATATTAAATATTGTCTGTTTAATTTAATTTATCCTCCTGTCTATTCAATAAACTTTTTATTTTATTTATTAACTTTTAATTGAATAAATTATACTTCTATCTTTGTGTAAAATTCTGCTGTTTTAATTCCTCAAAAAAATATTCTATCCTCGCAAACCGTCTTCTTTATAAGTTGCTATTTAAATGATTTGGAGAACCAAAAGTAATACATTTTAAAATTAAGGAAACTAAAAATAGATTTTTTTTGTGTGGAGAATTTAAAATTGAACTTTACATATTTTAAAAAACAATTTTATCTATAATTAAATGGTGTAATTTTGGATGTACACGGAAATTTCTTTTCAACGTACGTCTTAACTGTGACACTACATTTTTGTTGGGAAAATGATTATGATACAAAATGCTGATTTGTATATGAACTTTGCAGATTACTTTCAAACTTGAACCTCTGTTCAAGCGATCCATTACATATGTTACAGAAAACGATTCAAATTTGGAGAATCAAGTCATAACATTTGGACAAGAACATGAGTTTGCAGATATAATTTGGTACCCAAATCAACACAAGGCTGTATACCGTGTTGATGATCGTGTTCCAATTCATACATCAGGCAATGCTGTTTACGATTTCATCCCTTTCCGTTCCACTCCTGCAACTCAATTACAACTCCTCAGAACCACAGGCGAGTTTTTCTTAATTCACTACACAATGCATGTAAACTACTACTCAGCGTTACATACTAACATCGTGCTTGATTCAGTATTTGGAAAGTATAAACGTGAAAACTTTAAGAGTTGATAGATATTGATTTTGGATTTTCACCCAAAAGCGATGAATCTCCTTTTTAGGTTGATATGATTAACTCATTGATTGCTTTTGTTAGTCCATGCAATAGTTTTATACTAACATCTCTTAAAATTTTCTGATGAAAATAATAGTTTCCCTTTTATGTTTTTTGACTACAGAGGAAGCTGTGGAGTTTACTGGTGATGCAGAGGGGAAATGCTTAGTTGCAAAGACTGCAACCAATGCCCTTATAGCCACTGCTTATGGACTAACTAACAATGGTGCTGAATTCATCTAATCTATTTCATTCAAATGAGCACTAAGAATTGTCTGTATAATATGAATAAAATCACGTAACTCTACAATTGGAAGTTGCAGGTTTAGTCTTCTCCGGATTCCCTGCAGTTGGATTTCATAACCAGATTCAGGCTTCTGGGTCATGCCTGGGCAGTGATAGGAATACAAAGACAGCAACATTATGTCCCTGGGACTCTAGAATCAAAGGAGAGTTCTTTCACCAAACAGCATTTAGCATTGGGTTGTCTGTGGTAAATAACTTTATTGAAGATTTGAAAAAGCTGGTTGAATTGGAACCAAAGGCATTTTGTGGCATAGAGATGTACAACGGGATTCTGATGCGTTATGTGAAGGGTTCAAGTGCATACCTAGGGAAACAGGAAGATGGCGTAGACTTTGATATCACATACTACCGTAGCAAAGACCCAATGGCTCCTAGGCTGTACGAAGACATTATTGAAGAGGTTGAGCAGATAGGGATTTTCAAATATGGAGGTTTACCCCATTGGGGTAAGAACAGGAATGTGGCATTTGAAGGAGTGATGAACAAGTACAAAAATGCAGACAAGTTTCTGAAGGTGAAAGATGAGTATGATCCAGAAAGGCTATTCTCCAGCGAATGGACAGACCAAGTTCTTGGTCTGAAAGAAGGGTTGATGGTATCAAAGGATGGGTGTGCATTAGAAGGTCTGTGCATATGCTCCAATCACAAACATTGTGCACCAACCAAAGGCTACTTTTGCAGACCAGGCAAAGTCTACAAAGAAGCAAAGGTTTGTGCTGGTTCAGGCTCTTAAGATGCAACAATTTTCAAATGACTTTCAACAAACAACTTATCTGCATAATTGAACAGAAATAAATAAAAAAGATATAAAAGAATAAACGTGGAGTGGCTAATCTCTCAGCACACCACATTACGCATAGAAACTTTATATATTGGTCATCAACCTTGAACAGTTCAAAACACATCATTTGCTTACTTGTCACTATGACATGTTGTTATATATTATATATGGGGAATTAAAGAAGAGCAAGTAGATTAATATTTAAGCTACATTAAGATAAATAATCAGAAATTTTGAGGGATGAAAACATTAAGAAGTGTACCACTTTGAGTTCTCTTCTAATTTCATATATGAATGCCGATAACTATACACAGCAGAAATATTGAAGTCTTATTAATGACTTACTATAGTAGATATTTGTAGAACTGACATTAATCAAACTCAGTACAAGTCTATAAATATTATAGTAAGTCTCATGTACTC